CCAGCTTCTGGTTTCATTGATCTGTTCCACTGTTTTGTTGGTTTAGATAGCATTGATTTCTGCTCTAATCTTTATTATTTCCTGTCTTCTGCTGGTGTGGGGTTTTATTTGCCATTATTTTTCCAGCTCTTTGAGGTGTAAGATTAGGTTGTGTATCTGAGACTTTTCTTCCTTCTTTAGGAAGGCCTGGATTGCTATATACTTCCCTCCTATGACCGCCTCTGCTGCATTCCAGAGGTTTAGGGCTGTGGTGTTATCATTTTTGTTGGCTTCCATGTACTTTTTAATTTCCTCTTTAATTTCTTGATTAGCCCATTCATTCTTTAGTAGGATGTTCTTTAGTCTCCAAGTATTTGTTACCTTTCCAAATTTTTTCTTGTGGTTGATTTCGAGTTTCATAGTGATGTGGTCTGAAAATGTGCACAGTATGATCTTGATCTTTTTGTACTTGTTTAGGGCTGGTTTGTGTCCCAGTATGTGATCTATTCTGGGGTATGTTCCATGTGCACTGGGGAAGACTGTATATTCCTCTGCTTTAGGATGAAGTGTTGTGAATTTATCTGTTAAGTCCATCTGGTCTAGTGTGTCATTCAAAGCCATCGTCATCTTGTTGATTTTCTGTTTAGATGATCTGTCCATTGATGTAAGTGGGGTGTTGAAGTCCCCTAATATTATGGTGGTATTATTATTAATTAGTTTCTTTATGTTTAGGATTAATTGCTTTATATATATATATTTATATATATATGTATTTATATATTTATTATATATATAGGGTGCTGCCACATTTGGAGCATAAATGTTTATAATTGTTAGGTCTTCTGGTGGATAAACCCCTTAATTATGATAGAATGCCCTTCTTCATCTCTTGTTACAGGCTTTATTTTAAAGTCTAGAGGGGCGCCCGGGTGGCTTAGTCCGTTAAGCGTCCGACTTTCGCTCAGGTCATGGATCTCGCGGTTTGTGGGTTCAAGCCCCGCATCGGGCTCTGTGCTGACTGCCAGCTCAGAGCCTGGAGCCTGTTTCAGAGTCTGTGACTCTCTCTCTCTCTGACCCTCCCCTCCTCACGCTGTCTGTCTGTCTGTCTGTCTCTCTCTCTCTCTTTCTCTCTGCTAGAAATAAATAAAACATTAAAAAAATTAAAAAAAAATAAAGTCTAGAATGTCTGGTATAAGTATGGCTACTCCAGCTTTCTTTTGTCAACCATTAGCATGATAGATGGTCTCCATCCCCTTACTTTCAACCTGAAGATGTCTTTAGGTCTAAAGTGGGTCTCTTGCAAACAGAATATAGATGGATCTTGTTTTCTTATCCATTCTGTTACCCTGTGTCTTTTGATTGGACCATTTAGTCCGTTGATGTTTAGAGGGAGCACTGAAAGATATGAATATATTGCCATTATGTTTCTTGCAGAGTTAGAGTTTCTGGTGGGGTGTTCTCTGGTCCTTTATAGTCTTTGTTGCTTTTGGTCTCCCCCCGCCCCTCGTCTTTTCTCCCCTCAGAGAGTCTCCCTTAAAATTTCTTGCAGGGCTGGGTTAGTAGTCATGAACTCCTTTAATTTTTGTTTGTCTGGGAAACTTTTTTTTTTTTTTAACTTTTTTAACATTTTATTTATTTCTGAGAGAGACAGCATGAGCAGGGGAGGGCCAGAGAGAGAGGGAGACACAGATTCTGAAACAGGCTCCAGGCTCTGAGCTAGCTGTCAACACAGAGCCTGACATGGGGCTTGAACCTACGAACCGTGAGATCATGACCTGAACTGAAGTTGGCTGCCCAACCGACTGAGACACCCAGGCACCCCTGTCTGGGAAACTTTTTTTTTTTTTTTTTTAATATTTTTTTATTTATTTCTAGGAGAGAGAGAGAGAGAGAGACAGCGTGAGCAGGGGAGGGCCAGAGAGAGAGGGAGACACAGACTCTGAAATAGGCNTTTTAATATTTTTTTATTTATTTCTAGGAGAGAGAGAGAGAGAGAGACAGCGTGAGCAGGGGAGGGTCAGAGAGGGAGTCACAGACTGAAACAGGCTCCAGGCTCTGAGCTGGCAGTCAGCACAGAGCCTGATGCGGGGCTCCAACCCACGAACCGCGAGATCATGACCTAAGCGAAAGTCAGACGCTTAACCGACTAAGCCACCCAGGTGCCCCTGGGAAACTTTTAATCTGTCCTATTTTGAATGACAGCTTTGCTGGATAAAGAATTCTTGGCTGCATATTTTTTTGATTCAGCACATTGACTATATCCTGCCACCCCTTTCTGGCCTGCCAATTTTCTCTGGATAGGTCTGCTACAAACCTGATCTGTCTTCCCTTGTAGGTTAAGGACTTTTTTTCCCTTTCTGCTTTCATAATTCTTTCCTTTTGTGAATTTGACTATGATATGCCTTGTTGATGGTCGCTTTTTGTTGAATCTAATGTGAGTTGTCTGTGCTTCCTGGATATTTATGTCTGTGTCTTTTCCCAGGTTAGGAAAGTTTTCTGGTATGATTTGCTCTGCTTGCTTAACCCTTGTCCTCCTTTCCTCTCTCTCCATCTCCTGGGACCCCTATGATTCTGATGTTTTTCCTTTTTAATGAGTTACTGATTTCTCTAATTCTTAAATCGTCCTTTTTTGCCTTAGTCTCCCTCTTTTATTCTGCTCCATAAGTTTGTCCTCTGTATCGCTGATTGACTGCTCTGCTTCATCCATCCTTGCCGCTGTGCTATCTGTTGGAGATTGCAGCTTAGGTATAGCATTTTTTTATTTCACCCTAACTAGGTTTTTGCTTCTTTTTGTCTCCACAGAAGGGGATTTGAATCTGTTTCCAACCCCAGCTAATATTCTTATTATTGTGATTCTAAATTCTGGTTCAGACATCTTCCTTGTGTCTATGTTAAGTTCCTGGCTGTTGTTTTTTCCTGCTTTCTTTTGGGGTGAATTCCTTCAGTTTGTCATTTTGAAAGAAGAAAAGGAATTAATAAGGTAAAAAATTAAAATTAAAAAATTAAAAACAACACACACACACACACACACACACACGCAAATCAAATAAATGGTGCTAGATCCGAGGTGTGTTTTGGTCTGGGTGTTGAAGGGAGCTTGATAGATTAGAGGAAAAAAGGGGGTGGGGGAAGGAAAACATTTGAAAATTTGAAAAAGTGAATACAATAAATAGAATAAAATGAAATGACATAAATAAAATAGAATTTGAAATATTTACAAAAAAATAAAAATGTATTAGAAAAAAATTAAAACTGTTTTTAACAAAAATTGAAAATAATAAATTTTTTCTCTTTCTGCTGAGTTCTCTGGTTCAGGTTGTGCAGATTGTTGTGTTAATACTCAAATCAATTTTCTAGATATGCAGGATAGTTTAGTTTTGATCTGGCTGTATTTCATGGATTCAGATCACAAAAAAACTTCCATGCTGTTCTGCCATCTTGGCTCCTCCCCCATTGTAGAGTGTATATAAGAGAGAAGATGACCGCTACCTGGTAGCAAGAGAATCGTTTCTGATCTACTCAGTGGAATGTTATACTGCCATCAGGAATGTGAGTATTTTGTAAAATCATAGAGGAACACGTGTGCTCATTCAGTACACAGTGTCTGGTAAAACCCTGGTCCCTGCTGAATGGCAAGCCAGTTAGATTTGGTCCTTGGCTGCACAGAGCTGAGCGCCTGTGAGGAAGACAGCAGTCACTCTGAGAGCAATTGGTGATCAGTAGGGCTGCTGTGAGAGATGCTGGCCTTAGGGACATGGGAATGGGACACAGAAGGCATCCTAGAGGACAGGATGATGGCCCCGAGGCTGGAAGAATGAGTAGATGCTGGTAAGTGAAGGGCACAGTGTGTTTAAGAATGAGTGTGGTGCGGCTGGAACTCTCGGAGAGGGTAATTGGGGAAGCTAAGCCCCAGGGGGCTGGCAGTCAGCTCACAGGTGTGCCTAGAAGGTCAGAAGCTTAGACCTGATTCTGAGGGCAGCAGGAAGTCGTTGGAGGGCTTTCAGAAAAAAGGACTGTTACTGTATGTGCTGGGACATGTTCCTGAGCTGCAGCGCGGAGCATGGGTTGGAGGAAGGCGGAGATTGAAGCAGAGGGGCCCAGTGCAGAGGCTGCTGCGGTAGTCCAGGGGAGAGATGGTGGTGGCCTGGGTGGAAGCTGGGGAGGTGGGGAGAGGGGCAGATGGAACAGCAAGTGAAGAGGAAGGAATGACAACGCCAAGAGGGTTCGTGCATGTGGGCCCCGAGGGAACAGAGTGGATGAACCCAGGTTTCTGGTTTCAGCAAAGGGTGGCTTTTGGGCCATTGTGAGTGATAGGCTGCACTGGAGGGGGAGCGGGTTTGGGGTTGAGGGGGAGATGCTGAGTTCCTTCTGGGGTGCTGGGTTTAGAGTACTCATACGGCTCATTCTCCAGGACACTATTGGATAGGGAGGTCTGAAGTGTGAGAGAGAGAGAGACAGATGGAGCGCAGGTGTTGACTCAGAGTCATGAGCTTGAGGCCTGACCAGGGAGTGCTATGGGATGTGGGGAGAGGCACAAGACACCTAAGGCAGGAGCCGGGTGGGGACGTGGGCAAAAGAACGGGACTGGCAAAAGGGACGAAGGCTTGTCAGCAGCAGAGGTCTCCAGACTGAGGGATTAGACTCGATTTCCTTTTTTTTTGGTTTCTGTTTTTTTTCCCCTAGTTCATATAATAACAATAGCAAACATTGATTGCATTCATAGAATGTGCTAGATACTGTTCTAATAACTTTTTATAACTCTTCTAAATTTCCACAAGAAATCTACAAGATAGGTCTTACTGCATTACCGTTTTGCAGATGAAGTAACTGAGCACAGAGGGGTTAAGTCACGTGTCCCAAGCTACACAGGGTGCAGTCAGCAAGCAGCCTGCCTGGAGTCTAGGATCTGATTCCAGGGCTGTGCACTCCCCACGCAGCAGTGTCTCTCCACAGTACACTGTTAGGTTTTTTATAAATGGGGAAATACTGTTTGTTTGTTTGTTTGTTTTTTTAAATCGCAGTAGAGGTAAGAGAAGAAGGACTTGAACCTGCTAGAAAATTAGAGGGGAAAGGGTCTGCATCTGCAAAAGCAGCGGCTGTCTTACAAGTTTGCTGGACTGAGCTGGCCGCATCGTGGCATCGGCACACAGTTAACGCCTATTTCCGCATGGCTCGTTTTTCTCCAGGCACAAGTGCTTCCCTGTGCCGGGCATCATGGAAGGGCTGCTGTCGAGATGCAGAGCACTGCCCGCCCTGGCCACCTGCAGCCACCAGCTCTCTGGGTACATTCCTCACAGCTTTTACCACTGTGACCCAGAGAGAGGGAAGCGCTTGGTGCTGTCACGCATGTTCCAGCCCCAGAACCTTCGGGAAGACCAGGTGCTGTCTCCCGAGGGCAGATCTGGCGACCTGACCTGTAAGAGCCAGCGACTGATGCTGCAGGTGGGCCTGATCCACCCGGCAAGCCCTGGCTGTTACCACCTCCTGCCTTATACGGTGCGTGCCATGGAGAAGCTCGAGCGGCTGATAGACCAGGAGATGCAGGCCATCGGGGGGCAGAAGCTCGACATGCCCAGCCTCAGCCCAGCAGAGCCCTGGCGCGCCACCAAGCGGTGGGACTTGATGGGTAAGGAGCTGCTGCGACTGCGAGACAGACACGGCAAGGACTACTGCTTAGGACCAACTCACGAGGAAGCCGTCACAGCCCTGGTTGCCTCCCAGAAGACCCTGTCCTACAAGCAGCTTCCGTTCCTGCTGTACCAGGTGACGAGGAAGTTTCGGGACGAGCCCAGGCCCCGCTTTGGTCTTCTCCGCGGCCGGGAGTTTTACATGAAGGACATGTACACTTTTGACTCCTCTGCAGAGGCTGCGCTGCGGACCTACGACCTGGTGTGCGGGGCCTACGGCAGCCTGTTCCGCAGGCTGGGGCTGCAGTGCGTCAGGGTCCAGGCGGACGTGGGCAGCATCGGGGGCACCGCGTCTCATGAGTTCCAGCTCCCGGCCGACGTCGGGGAGGACATGTTTGCCGTCTGCCCCGGCTGCGGTTTCTCGGCCAACGTGGAGACTCTACGCTCGTCGCAGACCAGCTGCCCTGCTTGCCGGGGCCCACTGACCGAAAGCAGAGGCATCGAGGTGGGGCATACGTTTTACCTGGGCACCAAGTACTCCTCTGTTTTTGGTGCCCAGTTTACCAACGCCCACGGCAAACCATGCCTGGCTGAGATGGGCTGCTACGGCCTGGGTGTGACACGGATATTGGCTGCCGCCATTGAGGTGATGTCCACGGACGACTGCGTGCGCTGGCCTGGCCTCCTGGCGCCTTACCACGTGTGCCTCATCCCCCCAAAGAAGGGCAGTAAGGAGGCGGCGGCCGCGGAGCTTGCGGGTGGCCTGTATGACCTCCTCACAGAGGCAGTGCCACAGCTCCGCGGGGAGGTCCTGCTCGATGACAGGACCCATCTGACCATTGGGAACAGACTGAAAGATGCCAACAAGTTTGGGTACCCCTTTGTGGTCATCGCTGGCAAGAGGGCCCTGGAGGACCCTGCCCATTTTGAGGTCCACTGCCAGAACACCGGTGAGGTGGTCTTCCTCACCAGAGAAGGAGTCACAGAATTTCTGAGCCAAGTGCAGGTCGTCTGAACCCCCCTGACCACCCACCCCTACGTCCCCATCCTGCAGCCTTGGTGTTCGTTCTGATGCTGCCTTTTCCCACACTCCGTCCCCGGCGGCCTCTCCAGATACAGGGCAGCTTATGGAAGGGGGAAGCATGTTAGGGTAACCGACTTTTTATCCAGGCCTTTGTTCCTACTTTTCGTATTCGAAGGCGGTGATTCCATTCTCTGGGCTGGCAGTGCTGCCCCAAGGCATTCCTCTTACATTCCTTTGTGGAGGCTTTTGTGTTAGGAGGCAGAGGGGCAAGAAGGAGCCGCTGGGCTTGGCCCTCAGGCGAGTCACTTCCCTTCTCTGCCGGGTCCCATGTGGAGGATGCGAGCGGCTGGTTGCTGAGGCCTTCCTGGCTCTGGCAGTCTGACCCCGGTGCCTCTTGCTGCATTTAGTTTGGAGAGCGGGCCTACCAGCCCTCCTCCACTTGGACACATCCCCTCCCTTGCTGGGGGCCTCAGTTTCCCCATCTGTGACATGAGAAAATGGAACTATATCTGTAAAATTCATAAGCTGTCAGTGGGTGGTTCCATAAGAGGTTCATGACAGGCAAATCTGGGTCCTCTGCTCCCCTAGAGTCTAAGCTATACGGAAAGTTGATAGAATTAGCTAATGGCCCAAAACCACCTCCAGAGACCTGGCTCTATTGGGCTGGCTTAGCATGGAGATGGTGTTCAATTGATTGAATAAAGTAGGGCCACCAGGCTGAGCCTTGCATGGTTATTTGGAACAGTGGTAATGCCGCCATTTTAACTGCAGCGGCTTCCTACCTGACACTTTTTCCGTTTTTTCCCTATTATTTCTACAGTCCACTCACAAACAGACAAACACATAAAACCCACCTTCGGAGGCTGGGAATATGTTTTAAACCATTTCTCCCCCCAAATGTAGGGGTAGCAGGCTTCAGGCACCACAGTGAGCTTGTCTTGGGTCGAGGTGGATCCTAGTGCATATTAAGATCTCTGCCTGTAATCTTTGGAAAACTGGGAGCAGGCTTGAGCCACCACGGCAGTGCCACCTGGTTTCACTTCTCTTGTTCGTCACATTATGGTCTCCACACGTCCAAAGCTAACAAGATTCTGTCACATTCAAACTCAGGGCCACCACTTCCGGAAGTGTTGTGCCCTCTGCCTCCCGTATACTCTCCCATTCAGCACTGATGACATTGGTTCTTGTTTGTTCATTGTTCTGTGCACTCCCTCTCGTGGTTGATGGTCAGATCCCCAGGGTCATGGTCCTGGGCTGATTGCCAGTGTATCTCACTTCTTGTCTTGGCCAGTTGTCCCACCTGCCACACAGATCCCCCAGCAGCGTGTTCCCGCTGCCACTCGTCACTGCTCAAGTAACCCACTCCCCAGCACACACCATCAGGTTTCCTAAGTACTGTTCACGTCCAGCCCTGATGGCCCCTAGGCCAGGAGATGTGCATTCTGAGAGCAAACTTAGAAAGGCTAGATTAGAAGTCAGGGGATTCTACTCTTGGCTGCACTCTGGAACTGCCTGGGTCCCACCCAGAGGTTCTGGGTAGGGTCTGGGTTACGTTTTAAAGCTCCACAGATCATTCTGATGCATGCAGTCGGTTCAGAGCTCCCAGTGTACTTAAGGGCAGCCACCAGCTCTGAGCCACTTTGTAGCTGAGCATTTCTTAGAGTCATTTCCTTTGTACATTGTCAGCCCGATGTGAGCTCTCTGCTTTTAATGGTCTGGTTATTTATTTGCTAAGGGCCTGCCGTGCACCACTGTGCTGTGAGGCACTTGTATGTACCATTTTCACAACAAAAACTGTGCAGGGTAGACGCTGTTCTCCTTTAACAGATGACGAACCTGAAGTTTCGTCTCAGCAGCTTGCTCAGGGATGCACAACTGTTAAGGGTCAGAGCTAGAATTTGAGTATTGACTAAAGCCTATGCCCTCCCTGCTGTAACTGCATGGCCTCTGCATAGATAAAAGTGATTTCAGTAGATAAAACTGAATTGTTTATTTTTTTCTAATCAAGTTAGCCCAAAATGAGAAATTAGCATTTGTGAATTGGTGTTTAATTTTTTTAAAAGTTAACTCTTACTGAGGTATAGTTGATACACAATGTTTCGTTAGTTTTAAGTGTATGGCATAGTGACTCAGTAACTCTAGGTGCCCAACACAAGTGTTGCCATGCCTGTCAGCAAGCAACGCTGTGACAGCACCACCGACTGTTCCCCGTGCTGCACCTTTCATCCCCGGGTCTTACTCTGTAACTAGATGCCTGTGCCTCCCACTCCCCTTTTTTAAATTTTAAATTTGTTCTCCGTAGGCTGGCCTATGGAAGGCTAGCCTAATGTAAGCACTTTTGAAAACCAGAGTCCAGGAAGAGAGAAATCAGTTAACTTAAATTCTTCATAAATGTTGAAATCACAGAATAATTTGAGGACAATACAGAATCATGGAAGTTTAGAACGGGAGGACTTGGAGCCCCCCCGTCCACCCCTCATTTCACCGATGGGAAGCAGGCCCCAGCTGGGAATTAACCTGCCACACACCGTCTGACAGCAGAACACCCGCCTGCAGGCCAAGTGCCGTGGCCCCTAAATCGTGCTACCTCCAGTCAATCTTGTTGCATCAAGAGCGGTCTGGCTGGATCAGCCCGAGCTCTAGAAGCCTTGTAGGTGGGAAACAGGTACCGTCCTCTCTTTTCCAAGGGAGATGAATACAAGGAGAACAGTGATTTGCTCAAGGGCAAGCAGGACTGACACCTAGGCGTCTTGATTACTAAGCCAGCGTGTCTTCTGAGAAGCCAGGGACGGTAGGGTATGGGGGAGAGATCAGAACGCTGAAGAGACATAATCCTAGCCTACCACTTACCAGGGATGTGACCTTAAGACAAATTACTTGACCTTCATGCCTCTCAGCTTCTTCATCAAAGATGTGCTCATGTCCATGCCCCAGCCCCCCAGGGTGGTCCACGGTTGGCTGAGCTTACTTACGGGAAATGCTTAGTCCTGTGCTCTCAGCAAATGCTCCCATCACCCCAGACAGCTGAAGAAATGCCACCATTGGGAGCTCACGTTGTGCTCGCGTTAACTTGTCTCAAGACCTGGATCTTGTTTTCTTGATGTGATGCTTTACAACCTTCCTGGGGAGTGCCACGGGCAGGAATTAAGTGACGCCTGTGGTATGAGTCCATCTCCTTAGAGAAAAGACACATATTCTCAAACTGTGTACCTTACTCTCTCCTTTCCGAACTTGTCAGTGTTACTTCTTGCCACAGACTGATGAAATGGAGTTGCTGGCAAAGCAGCAGGCACAGGCGCATTGTCATTGCTCTCACTCCTTGGGGAGATCTAGAAGCAACTGGCTGGGAAATATTTAGCAGAATTAACCCTTGGGGACAAAAGCTGGTGTGTAACAAAACCATTGTGTAAAGCAAGCTTAGAATGTAAATCAAGGGCTCCATTAATACTCTGTGCTTTCACGGAAGAAACACCTGCTGGGCTATCAATAAAGGCACTTTGCAGAAATCTGTTGAAATTGTCATTTCTTTAACTACTTGAGTGCCAAGGAACTTCATGGAGTTCCCATCATCCCTTTCTACACCAAGATGCCAGAATCCTTTTCAGAATGGACTGTTATACATCCAAGGGCATATAAGGCTTTGTTTGAAAGTTGGGAAAAGTTTTATAATGTGGAAAATGGGAAACTTTTTTTGAAGTTTTTGCAAACTTAGGGTATACTTGAAAAAAATCAATTGTGACTTACATCATAGTAACCCACGCTAGGGACTGTGGAGTCAGCCCGCCGAGGCCACTTGATAGCAGCTGTATGACCATGTGCAAGGTGCTTCCTGTGCTTCCACAGTAAAACAGGGCCCACAGTGCCCAGCTCACCGCAGGTGCTGGCTACGTGGCAGCTGCCATTATACTGGGCCAGTTAGCCCTCTGCATGTAGTAGGCGGGTGGACGGTGTGTGTGGGCCAACAGAGTGGGGTTGCACCTTTAGGGTCCCCTTGATTGGGCACCGCTTTGGTGCCAGGATGGTGCCCACTCCTATTAAGCCAGCAGCTCTGAAGGGTGAGCAGCTTCCATAGTTAAAGCCTGATTGCCCTTGGCTAAATAAAACTCTAGGACTAGGAGAGGGAGGAGGGCACCTCTCTTGTTAATGGTCACTGAGGACACTGTTTGCCAGGGAAGAACTTGCTGCCGGACTCAAGCACTGACAGGAGCCCTCCTGGCGGGGTGTCGGGTGCTGTGGGGAGTCAGCTGTGGGCTCTGGTAGTCTGGCTACACAGACTGGACTCCTTCGCCCAGGCGGACAGGTTGGGGACTTTGCATAACAGTGAATGCCAAGACTTTGCGACAACATTGGAGCGAGCAGCAAGGGCTGCTGGGTCTAATGGCAACTCCTGGAAGGCAGAAGCCCAGTCTTATTGCTGCTGATACACCCTGGAGGGCTTAGGGGAGTCCTGAATTCAAGTTCTGGCTCTGCTTTCCGCCAGCTGGTTAATGCTGGGCAAGCTCCCTCTCTGTGCCAGTTTTGTAGTAAAATGGTTCTGTAAACTACTTGCCTCCTGGAGGTGCCAGGAGTGAGCCTGTCCCCAGGAAGCACCCTAGAACACTGTGGCATGTCCTAAGTGCTCAGTGGAGGGCCAATGTTAGTGAGCCAGGCTGTCTGCGCACTCCCCCTGGAGGATGCAAGGATTGCTCGAGGGGCCCTTCCAACTCACACTCCCCATCCTTCCCTGTCCCTCCCACAACCTCATGGCCCATACCTGTCTTGTGCGATGGCTTCCACCCCTCATCTGTTTAGAATTTATCACCCCTTCCTCTGCGCCATCAGTCAGTAATTATTTGTTGTGTACCTGCTATGTGCTGTGCTAGGTGCTGGCAGTACCAAAATGCATGGTTCAGGGCCCCGAACTCAGTTTACAAAGCAGTGGAAGGAACTACCCAGTAAGCAGGCAATTACAACGCAGTGTGTGACAAGTGTGGTAATGATACAGGAGCCGTGGGACATATGGGGGAGGAGGGGCAGGAGGGCTTCCTGGAGGAGGCAGCCAGACCTGATTAAAGATTAGAAAGGAAAGGGTGGAACAGTTGGGGGTGGAGGCAAGGGTGTAATGGAGAGTAAGAATTCTCTAGGCAGAGGGAGCAGAATGTGCAAAGGTCCAAAGCTAAGAGCATGGCACGATTAGAGAAGAAAAAAGTGTCGTACGTTAAGCACTTAGTTTGAGGCAGGCTTTGTTCATGTGCATCACATAGATTAATTCATATAATCCTCACAGCACCTGCATGAGGTAGGTGCTGTTACGCTGTTTGTGTTGGTGCCTGAGGCCATCCGCTAGGGAGTTGCAGGGCTGGAATTGAAGGCAGGCAGCCTGGGTCCAGAGGTGATACTTAAGCCACTGGCACCCTCCTGCCCCATAGCTGAACTGTGTCCAGGATGGTTGGGCTAAGGCAGCTGGAGAGAGGAAGCCACAGAGGTGGTTGGGGTCCAGACCCCGAAGGGCACTGAGTGCCATACCAAGAGTGTTGATGAGGGAATGGGGAGCCGTTGAGGGCTCTGAGCAGGGGGAGGACTTGTCTGTGTGGCTGTATTTCTCTTCCTTGGAGCAGTTTCTAGTCCAGGGTTAGATTTATGACATCTACTCAACAGGGTGACCTTGAGGGCAGAGGCTGCCTGATGCACTTGGACCTTGATGTCCTGTCCCTGGTTGGTGCCAGTTATGTTCAAAGTTTGTAAACAGAATAAAAGGAACAAGGAAGAAGAGCAGGTGGGCTCTGGAGAGATGCTTGGGTTCAAATTCTGGCTCTGATACCCAATAGTAGTGAGACTATGTGCCCCTACTGTCTTTATATCATTTATGAAATTGGGACCTGAGAGCGTGGCTGCCATAAGGAAGTGAAAGGAGGTTTGCACAGCGCCACAACGTTGTTGACAGCCACCATGATTTCTCCCCGCTCCCTGCCTGCCCTTGCGTCCCGGCTGTTTCAGGGGTGGTTCTCCAGCTGCCAACCCCGATTTACAGAGGTAACCACACAGATGTCTGGTGGTCCCACCTGTGTCCCTGGCCCTGGGAAGGCTACACTCTGGTCCTGTGAGGCAGAGGTGCCCCTGGGTGTTGGGAAAGGCTCTGCCTCAAATCAGGGATGTGAAGAATGCTGATACCGTGGCCTTGCCCCTCCTTCCCTTTGGGCCTCAATGTCCTCATCTGTAAAATAAGGTGGCCCCATGGTTGAGTCTTTGAGGGAGCTCTGACTGGGTTCTGGTGGAGTCCCAGGTAGGGGCAAGCAGCTGGGGAGGCAGAGAGTGTGAGGGCCAGCCCACATGCCCCATGGGCCCCACCCGCCATGGGGAGGGGGGCAGGGGCACGTGCCAGGCCAATGGGACCCCTGCTCCTAACCCTAGCCAAGCTCTAGTCGTAGCTGCCTCAGTCCGCTCCTAAGTTTGTGCTCTCTCCACTCCCTGGAGACCAAAGACGATGGCAGAGGTCAGAAGGGGCAGAGCCCATGGGCTGGGAAGGCCAGAAGGCTTCTTGCAGGGAGTGAGGCGGCTGCACGGGCTTGAGCCTGGAAACGCTGATGCTTCTGTATGTATAGATGGGGCTTTGGAACAGGACTCTGGTTTATTATATTATGTCTTTCACTCGTTTAAACATTTATCCATCCAGTTGACACACGCGGGGCTCTCAGTGTGTCACACTCACTGTGTCAGGCCTGGGCACTAAGACAAATCCCCATCTGGCCTCTGCCCATTAAGAGCGTGTCTTCTGGAGGCTTTAGTGCAGTGCTTCTCAGACTCGGCATTACTGACAGTTGGGCCAGCTAACGTTTTGTTGCGGGGGCTGGCCTGTGCACTGTACACTGCTTCAGCAGCTGCCCACCAAGTTGTGACAACCAAAAATGTCTCAAGACATTGGCAGGTGCCCCCAGGGTGCAGGTCACCCCTGTTGATAATCACTGGCCACAGAGGTGCCACAGATAAGGCTGGGGGTGGGGGTGGCGCACTGACTCACTTTACAGGTGGAGGCTCCAAGCAGTCCCACCCCCCCGCCCAGGCACAGCAAGCCAGCAGCCACCAGGATCCCAATGGCCGCCTGTCTGCCATGCTAAGTCGCTTTCCTCCCCTTTCTGCTTCTCCCGCTCACTCTAGCTGGATGGAGGGGCGGGGCCTAAAGGGAAGGCAGCCAGAAGCTGGCTGAGAACCGGGCCTACCAGGAGCCTAAAGAAAGGACTGGGTGGTGGGGATGACGGTCACAGAACTTTGTTTCTCAGGGGTGTCCAGGAGGGAGTGGGGTAAGCAGTCTGTTTTACAGATGAGTGAGGTCGCGTGCCGGGGCCTGCTGCTCCACAGAATGCTGCAGTGCCCGCTAGGGTTGCTATTGTCAGGCCTCTGACCCGGTGCTGAGTTCTTAGAGGGCCAGGTGGCAGGACAGAGGATGGCCTCAGTATGGCCTAAGGCAGGCCTTGGTGGAGGCTGGACTTCTCCCCGGGCGCAAGCAGGGACCAGCACTTGAGAGGAGAGCTGCATGGTTCTTTGTAAGTATTCCACAGCAAACTGCCCTTCAGAGACGAAGTACACAGCACAAGTCGATCTTGAGGACAGCAGCCATTTCTGTTTAATGATGTATTATTTAGCTTTGCTACAGGAACAAGCTCAGTGCTTAACTACTACAATGACATCTATTTCTCCATGTTACAGTCAACAGGCCAGCTGCTTCTGCTCCGCGTCTTGCCATTCTGGCTCCCAGGCTGATGGAAGAGCCCCTCTCTGGGAAGTATGTTCGTGGCAGAAGGAAGAGCGCATGAACTTACCAACCTTCTGTCCAGACACGTCCACCCACGTCCCTTTACACCCCCTGGTGGGTGGAGTAGGTACTGCAAGACACCACATGGCTGCAGGTGAGGCCCCATACTACCCTCTAGGAAGGAGGCAAATAGCAGCAGACATACATACGAACTAGGACAATGACTCCACTGCAAAGATTTTTAAAAGGCACAAAATCCTAAAATGTGAACACTGGGGAGGGACAAGTCTGTCACAATTTTCCCTACCATACAGATCAGGAAAAGTGGTCAATTTTGGGTTTTGTTTTTTAGTGGGGTCGGAGGGTCCCCACCTATACTTCTTTACAGGTACAGAAACAGGAGCTGACTTTTCTGAGCCCATCTCACTTGCAAGGGTCTCCTATCCCTATAGGGCAAGCCTCTCTACAGAGGTTCTCGTTCTCTGAGGCCACTACCACCACAGAAGTCCAAACCCTAGCACTGGGTCCTGAGCCTGTGTCCACATGTCAGTCTTCCTCAGGTCAGTTGTTGTGGGAAGTCAGGGATGGAGGCTGATGGTAACACAGCTCACAGGGACTCCAAGGATGTCATGACCATGCTATAGTTTTTGTATCAATGGAGGGGAGTGGTGACCAGCTGGAACTTGGCACTGACCAGACACGATGTACTTCAGGGAAGTCAGCAGCTCTTCCCCCACCATGATGCAAGGAAGGACCGTCCCCAGGGTGGCACAAATAAGGTGTTGGGTTCAGATGAGTGAGGGACGAGATCCAGGGGCCCAGCTCGGTCACCACTTTATCTCATGCAGCTTTTTCCCCCGGAGATAATTCTTACAAAAACTAGAGGCTCCTACACACAGCAAAAATGCTGGTATCAGGGCTTTTACAAAGTACCTGCAGTGAACACAACAGAAGAGGGAGGTTAATTGAACTGCAATCTTAATCATCCATGCACCTTCCCACCAACATTCAAGGTGAACCTCTGGATGTGAGTCAACATTAAAATGCAAGTTTAGCACATTTATTTGGCTGTTTACATATTTGGCAAATTAGCATGACTCGCTCCCTCTTACAACCTAGCCAGAACCTTTGGGCTGGTCCTCTAGCACCATGTGTGCATGGCTAAACACAAAACTGTAAGAACAAACATTCATTCACTCAATGATGCATGCCCAGGGTCAGCTGGGCTCTGTGCTGAAAACAAGGGGGTGCCTGCGTGGCTCAGTTGAGCATCTGACTCTTGATTTTGGCTGAGGTCTTGATCTCACACTTCGTGGGATCGAGCCCTGCATCAGGTTCTGCACTAACAGCACAGAGCCTGCTTGGGATTTTCTCTCTGCCTCAAAATAAACATTTAAAACAAACAAAACCATCCCTGCTCTCAAGTCCTGAGGAGAGACAGAGAGATAATTAACGACAGCAAGACAATCCCAGAAGCATTTGTGAGGTATGATGTTAGCCCAAAGGGCATGATTCCCCCCACCCCCCATAGGAAAGGGGACTCAGGAAAAGCTTCCTGGAAGATGCTATGTGCATGTGGACTCTAATGTAGAAAAGGGGTAGTTGTGATGGGGGAGCAAGCGTCAGGAGGTGCGGGTCACCTGAGCACTTGCCATTGCTGGAGCATGAAACATGCAGAGTGGGGCAGGTTAGAGAGTCAGGCAAGGTCTCGGCCTCCCAGACTGACGGGTGTTAGCATTACTCAATGTGCTTCATCTGGACAGAGGGATCTACATAGGTCTGAAATTGCCTGAAACCTATCCTGGGTAGCCCTTGCATATCTCGATCATCTAGAAAGTAAACATTTCCAAGAGCATTTATATTTTTGAGATTGGCTTTCCTCCACAAATCTGCTTTATTTAGATTTCTCCCCCATTTTTTTGGAGATGGGGAGAGAGCAAACCTCAGGCCTTTAAAGAATTGTGGTAATGGGGCACCTGGGTGGCTCAGTCAGTTAAGTATCCGACTCTCTATCTCAGCTCAGGTCTTCGTCTCAGGGTTGTGAGTTCAAGCCCTGCACTGTGCTCCATTTTAAGTGTGAAACCCACTTTAAAAAATTTGTGGTAATACTTTGCTAATAATGGAAAATAAGAATAGCTAAAAATTTATCTATGAACTAGAAGAGAGATTTAACACCCCCCCCCCCCCCCCCCCCCCCCCCCCCCGCCGTGTCCCTGCCAAAAAAAAAAAACCCACACTTGCCAAGAGAAGGCCTATCATTATCTGAAGAAATCTTCACCTCCTGCCTGCCAAGCAGAAGCATCCGGAACAGCTGGATCCCCACCTAATCTCTTTGCAGTCCTCCCTTACCTCATGCCTCACCATCAAAGAGGACACGTAATCTGTATACTACTTTGTAAATTTTCCCTCAACATCCTCTGTGGCTCCATACACCACTATCACAACAAAGTACGCTCCGGAAGGGGCCACTCGGGGCCTTCACGCATGGCCCTACCTCCACTCTCTAGCCTCTTTCTCGGCACACCCAGCCACCTCACGTCCAACAGCGCAGGCTGCTTTCGCCTAAATGCAAGACATTTGCTTTGCTTGGAGCTCTGGGAAGAACAGTCCAAGAGTCAACTCTTAAATCTGCCTGGGGGATTCTAGCACAGTCCAGGGACACCCCAAAGCTGAACAAACAGAAGCCAAATCCACCTGGCTGCCACAGCTACTCAAAAGATGCACTTCGAACAAGACTGCTCTTTACAGAAGCACTTTGACTCCTACTCTCTCACGGGCTCTCAAATACCTGAGAAAAACGCAGGCCAGAATTATTACTCCCAGTCTAAAGACAAGGAGACCTCCCCAGAGAGGAAGTATGTGCTTACAGTCCCACAGCCAGTCAGTGATGGTGTCGTGGCTTCAAGCAGCAACATCCTTTCCGTACAGAGCACCAGGGGACGCAGGCACAGTCACGACAGAAGCGCTGGCACTGCTGCTCCCAGGTACAAAAGCCGGGCAGCGGGCCCCTTCTCAGACCGGCCCCACAGGCTCTTCCCAGTCTGGGGGCGTCCCGGCTGCAGGGTAGGGAGCGCTATCTGGCCAATGACCTGGGCTGGTCCCTGTGGCTGCCGTCTCAATTTTGTGTCCAGGGTGGCAGGGAAGGGAGGACAAGGCAACTAGTCGGCAGCGGAACGCAAAGCTGGCTGTACCCCTGGGGCGCTGCCCGGGCACCTCCCCCCACCTCCCAGCCTCATGAAGGCAGCTCACCTGGGGTGCTGCAGCACCTGCAGCAGGGTGCTCTCGGGCGGCACCCGGTACAGTTCTGTCCCACCGTCATCCTCGAAGTAGATCTGCAAGAATAAAGGAGCAGGAATCAGACACAAAGGGCCTCAGCAGCACTACACAAGCTGAGGCCAAGTCCGGTGAAGAGCTAAAGACATAACTGTTCTGAGTGACCCCTCATAGAGCTGTGCGACGTGGGATGTGGCGCACGCAGTCTTCCCCTGTGGCTTCACTTTCCAAAGACAGGACCAGGGCTCAGAGAAGAGAAATAACTCCCCAACAACACTCAGCTGGTAAACAAATAAGTCAAGATTCAAGCCCAGGCCTGTGAGCCTTCGCTTCCCTAGCAGTTCAGTCCTAGACCTCTTAGATGTGGGGGAAGAAAGGCACAGTGGCCCAGCAGAAGAGCCCTAGGAGGATGAGAAGGCTGTCCATATGGGATGGCGCTGTGCAGGTGTCAAAGCCCACACAGGGTAAGGAAGATGTCTGCACAGGAGAGGGGCTGGTAGGGAGTGAGGGGTGTCAGAGCCAGGCCAGTGGAGGGCAGCCTTGCTGGGAATGGGCCAGCCTAACCCGGGTGCGAAGGGCTTCCTTACAGGACGGCTGTCCAAGACGAGGTGTCAGAGCCCATGTGGGGTGAGAAGGGTGTCCTTGTGTGGGGACTGCTGAGATGGGGTGTCATAACTAGTGTATCAAAGCTAACGTCCTGATACTGATGGTTGGTGGGGATTATGAAGGAAAACATCCTTGTTTGTAGGGTAATGATCCTGAAGTGTTCAGGGACAATGGGGCATCCATTGGCATCTTACTCTCAAATAGAAGACAAAGTCTTTGCACTGTAAGCTGTGAGTAAAAAAATAAATAAAAAGGTCCCAACAGTGGAATGTTATTCACCCTGAAATATGAAGAAATGATGCTAATGAAATGAGCCAGACACAAAAAGAAGAGTCTATGGTTCCACTAACAGAAGGTGCCTAGAGCAGGCACAGCTGCCAGGGGCTGGAGGGCGGGGAAATACACTGTGTGGTGGGTCCAGGGTCTGCAGTTTGGGGGGACGAGGGGGAGACAGATGGTGGGTGATGGTTGCACAACCACGTAAATGCACTTACTACTCGGGAAGTAGGTGCTGGTTCAAATAATGATTTTTATGTTCTGTATAATTTGACATAATTTTTTAAAAAACATTAAAGCCTCCCCCCAAATCCCATATAGGAACAAAGTAAAACATCTCTTACCTGTATATTAGCAGGGCAGTATTTTTCCTCTAAGTCCCAAGAGGGTATTTCACCAAACATCACCATCAGATGATCAATAAACCTAAGGATATAACATAATCTATTTTCCTACATCACAGTTCCTGGACACCCATTCATAGAGATATCATAGATGTATAAAACATGAAATACAGGCCTAAGCCATTCTGAGCCAAAGCCATCTGGTTTAAGCCAGAATGTGTATGTATATCACTTGTCCTATTTTTTTTTAAGTTTATTCATTCATTTTTGAGAAAGAATGAGGGAGGGAAAGAGGGAGAGAGAGAATCCCAAGCAAACTTCATGCTGTCAGCACAGAGGCTGACTTGGGGCTCGAACCCACAAACCAACTGTGAGATTATGACCTGAGCCAAAATCAAGAGTTGGCCACTGAACCAATTGAGCCACCCAAGCAAGCCCTCACTTGTCTTCTTATATGACATCATAATATTCTTTAAACTCGAGCTTCACAACATACCTTACATTTAGCCACATTCTAAGCATTAACCCTATGAAATCACATAGAAACTGCTACTTCTATTCTCTCTAATAAATACTTCGGTTACTATGCATATCCTGCCTACCATGACTTCCTGTCTCCCCTGAGATATGCCTGGCAAACCACACTGTGGTGCTCTACTTCTTAGCCCAGTCAGGACGACAGTGAGACCTGGGTCTGTCACTACAAACTAGCTCTAGTTAGTGAAGGGAGAAATCAGCTCCAGGACAGAGAGATTATTTCAAACCAGACTGTTAACCCTCTCAATTATACTCGGACCTTCTCAACCAACAGCGTCCTCAGCCGAGGCGGCAGGAGAGCATGCAAGCACGGACAGAGGGAGCTGGTTCCCTCTGGGCAAGTACGTACCTGGTGTCCTCGTGAAAAGCAGCGATGAAGTCCGACTGGGTGTGCTCTGGGTACAGAAAGAGCACAGGCCAGCTTAACCTGCCCCGCGCGTCTACACTCAGCCTGGCTCCATAGCGGTTCTCCGAGCTGATCCGATCCAGAAAAAGCTCACCTAGATCTTCTAAGTCTGAATCTTCATCCTCACTGGTAGCTTCAGAGACTAGCTTGATGTTCCTAGCCTGGATGAAAAACACACACACACACATCTTATCGTGTGGAAGGATGCAAGCCCATTTCAGTAACAGCTTCATTACCCCTGAGGCCTGGCACGGCAGGGAGAACTCCCCCTTCACCATGTGCTGGACCCCGTGTCACAGAGACAAGCTAGATGTGGTGCCTGCCCTCAAGCCCCTACTCATGGTCTAGTGGGCACAGAGCTATGGAAATGAGTACGGTATGAGGTAAGAAGTGGAGCTGCAGAACTGCAGACCATCAATAAGTAATTCAGCCTGGGCTGGAGATGACAGGAATGCTGGGGGCTGAGCAATGACTGTGAAAGGCAGAGAAGTTGGGGGGGGGGGGCGGGGGTGTGTGGAACAGAAGGTCATTCCACACCAAGGAACAGCATATCCGAAGGCACAGAAAAGATCAAGAGTGGGAATATACAAAAATGGTAAGTGTGTTGGTTTAGCTAGGACATGGAATAGTAAAAATAATGCACACTGACTTAATCTTGACTGTCTCATGGAAGTAAAGATAAATCAAAGTTCTGATTGTGTCTCGATGTATGTGTGTGGAGGCTAGCACACACAGGGACACTTACATGCAATCAAAGTTACTTTTAGTATCTCCTAAATCAGGGGTTGGCAAACTTTTCTTGAAGGATCAGACAGAAATATTTTAGGCTTTGTGAGCCAAATGGTCTCTGTTGAAATTAACTACTCAACTCTGCCACCGTAGTGTGAAAACAGCCATATGTGACACATAAACAAATAGGCAGGGATGTGATCCACTGGTTGTAAATCTACTGGTTTTAGACCATTGGTAAAATGCCATTCTGTGTATACAACTGTTAAAGCAGTTCTTATGTATGCTGAAGCTTAAGATGCAGGGTCAGACCAAACACAATCAGGGCTGTATGCAAATGTCTGGGCACTGCAACAGTCTCCATTTTGTTTTAGAATGTGACCAAATCTCTCACTATGCATGTTAACTGGAGAATCTGGAGTATTCCATTCTGTTAACAGGTGTTAACAGATTGCTTGCCGTGAGTAGGGACTAGTGGAGTGCATCTTAGCATGAGGTTCTCAAAATCAGTAAGTAACTTCAGTGGCGCATAACGTAACTCAACAACAAATGGAACTAAGAGCCTGCTCCACAGTTTCATGGTGGAGGTCCTCTCGTCCTCTCCCTTGTGAAGACCAAGCACGCCAAACCTCTACAGGTGACTTGCTAGGTATCCAGGTAAAAACAAGATTTGGCTCAGACTACATCCATTTAAAATGCAGGGAAGAAAAGGACAAGGTCAAATCTGCTTTTGTTACAAAGGAGCAACATCCTAAAAGTTCCCACTTTCTCAGGATGCAGTGGCTGAGAGCAAGGACCGGCTCTGAGACACATGAGCCGTGTGAGGTTTCTTTACCTCTCTGAGACCACATCATCATCATCCAGTAAAACAGGAGAGGGAAGATGTATCTCAGAAGGCTACTGTGAAGATTAAGTACTGCTTAACCCATAGCAACTATTCAGTGTAGGTTACCTGAGATCAACACATGTACACAGGCAGGAGAGCTGACTGAACTCGGGGGATGTGACTCCAGAGCCCCTTCACCACACTGCTTCACCAAAGCAGAAAGAAAATGAACAAATTCATTCAGGTAAAGCATCCCAAGAAAAGTTCCCAATAAGCTTGAGGATTAAGGGATTTAGCAAGACCGTATGTGCCTGAGGTTTGAGAACTCACCTTGATGGCCTGGAATAAAATCTTATTCTGATTCTGCTCCTTCTTTTCTTTCAGCTTTGCTTTCCTTATATTCCTCTGTTCAATTCTCTGAAAATGAAATTCAGATCCATCAACTTAGGGAACTTGCTTCCTCTTCCATTACCCCAGCCTGCTTCTTAGTTGTGATCTTTGGTATCTATCCAACCCAGACTCCTGTGTCAAGCAAGACCAGTGGCCTGATTCAGGTCAATAAACATTTTAAAAGCACACATCTGGGGTGCCTGGGTGGCTCAGTTAAGCGTCTGACTCCTTGATTTCAGCTCAGGTCGTATCACAGTTCATGAGTTCAAGCCCCACACTGGGCTCTGCACTATCAGGTTCTTAACCTTTGCTTAAGGTTCTCTCTCCCTCTCTGAATTAATTAAACAAACACACATACAAACTTGAAAAGCACACGTCTGGGTGCCAGGACTGGTGGTAACAAATTTTAACATCTATAGTGACTATACCCAAGGAGCTCGCAGTCTACTGAGGGCGACAAACAGGTGAAATGTCTGTTACGTGTTACCCAGGTGGTGTGCATCCAGAAACCCACCAGGGTATGCTATGAAACACAGACTGATCTATAGTGACCAATACCTCTTGATCATTCCTTCTCCAATCCAATCTACCAAGAGAGCTGCACAACTCCTTTCTGCCATTAGGAAGTGCAGTTACACTATTCAGAGTATCCCACCCACAGACACCATGAAAACCCATGTCTAGTCCAGTGCCTTCACACAACTGAGCTACACCCAATCACAACGTCTGGTCCACATTAGAGAATGATTAAGGATGATGTCGACTCTGTCCCCTGTTGATTTTACTCTGATTTACAGGATACAATGAAGTGTTGTGGCTTCCTGGTGTCTCAAATGAAGTTTGGGGTCTTGGCAGCCACATAAAGTAGAATAACCACCAGGTCAAAGGAGCCCCAACCTGTGGAGTCTGCTGTCCTTTAAAAACAAACAAGCAAACAAACAATCCTGGCACCTGGGTGGCTCAGTTGGTTAAGCATCCGACTTTGGATTCACAGGCTGTGAGTCCAAGCCCTGCATCGAGCTCTCCACTGTCAGCATAGGGCCTGCTTCAGATCCTCTGTCCCCCCTCTCTCTGCCCCCCCCCACTTACACACATGCTCGATCGCTGTCTCAAAAATAAACATTAAAAAAAAAATCAGCTTTGTGAGGTATACTTTAGAGATTTTAAGCGTATACTTAAGTAAATTTTGACAAGCTATACCTTTAGTATCCAACACTTCAATCAAAATGGGACATTTCTATCCCCTAGAAGGTTTCCTTGTGCGCCTTTGCAGTCAGTCTCTATCCCATCCCGTCACTGATGGGTTTGTTTTTATTACCAGATAATATTCCATTATAGGAGTATCACACTTCGCTACCTATTTCCTATTGTTGGACACAAGAGCTGTTTTTGAATTACTACGAATAAACCAGGCTGTGACCATTCTTATACAATCTTTTTATGAACATGTTTTCAGTGCTCTTAGGTAAACACCTAGGAGTGAAACTGCGGGGTCACATGATAGGTGTACGAAACTGCCAAAGTAAGGGTACCATTTTATATCCCACTGGCAGTGTATCAGGGTTTCAGTGCCTCTGCCTCCTCACCAACATTTGGTACTGTCAGTCTTGTGAGATGGGATCTCGCTGAGGTTTACTTTGCCTTCTCCAGATGCCTAATGACCCTGTGCAAAGTTTCGCATGCTTACTGTAAATCTTCTGGGAAGGGTCTGTTCGTTTCTTTTGCCACATTTAAAAATTTTTCATATTGAATATATTTCTTTTGTAGTCTGGATACAAATGCTTTGTTAGATGTATGCATTACAAACATTTTCTCCAATTCCATGGCTTGCCTTTTAACCTCCTTAATGACGTCTGTTTTTAGTTTTGATGAAGTCCTATTTACCAATAATTTTGCCTTTTACGGTTTATATTTTTTCATTTTTAAAAAATTGAGATAAAATTCACATGGCATATTAACCATTTTAAAGTACATAATTTATTGGCATTTAATACATTCACTGTACCGTGTAACCATCACCTCCATCTAGTTTCAAGGCTTTTCAATACCCTATAAGGAACCCACAAGCCTGTTAAGCAGTCACTCTGCGCTTTCCCTGTCCCCAACCCCTGGCAATCACTAATCTGCTGTCTCTATAGATTTACCTATCTTGGATATCTGATACATGTGGAATTATACAACATATGATCTTTTATATCTGGCTTCTTCACTTAACATAGTGTTTCTGAGGGTCTCTTTTATGGCTGAATAACATTCCACTTCATGAACGTAACCATATTTTATTTCTATCAGTTGATGGACATTTAGATTGTTTCTACTTTTTGGCCATTATGAATAGCATTGCTATGAACACTCATGTACAAGTATTTATTTTAATACTTGTTTCATATTCTTTGGGTATATACCTAGGAATGCAAATGCTGGTTCATATGTTAATTTTGTGGTTAATTTTTTTTTTTTTGTGGTTAATTTTCTGAGGAACTGTCAAGCTGTTTCCATAATGGCTGTCATTTTACATTCTCATCAGCAAAATATGAAGGTTTCAGTTTCTCCTCATCCTTCTCAACATTTATTTTCCTTTGAAAAAAATCCTAACCAGGGGCATCCGGGTGGCTCAGTGGGTTAACTGACTTCAGCCCAGGTCATGATCTTGTGGTTCGTGAATTCTCTCCCCCCAACCCCAACTTGTGCTCTGTCTCAAAATTAATTAAAAAAATGATAACCATCCTAGTGTGAAATAGAATCTCATTGTGGTTTTGATTTATATTTGCCTAATGACTAACAATGTCAAACATCTTTCATATGATTTTTTGGCCAGTATGTACCCTCTTTGGAGAAATGTCTACTCAGATCTTTTGCCCATTTAAAAAACTGGGCTGTCTTTTAATTATTGAGATGTTAAGAGCTCTTTATATATTCCATATATAAGTCCCTTAACAGGAAGTGCCTGGGTGACTCAGCTGGTTAAGGATCCAACTCTTCATTTCAGCTCAGGTCATGATCTCATGGTTCATGAGTTTGAGCCCAAATCGGGCTCTGGACTGACAGTGTGGAGCCTGCTTGGGATATTCTCTCTCTCCCGCCCACCTCTCTCAGCCCTTCCCCAGTTTTCTCTCTCAAAAATACAATAAATAGAACTTTATAAAAAGTTCCTTAACAGCTACATGATTTACAAATACTCTCCCATTCTGTGGTTTGTCTTTTCACTTTCTCAATGGTAGCCTTTGAAGCACAATAGTTTTTATCTTTGATGAAGTCCAGTTTATCTATTTTGTTGTTGTTGCTGTTTCTTGTGCTTTTTGTGTCACATCTAAGAAACCATTACCTAATCTAAGGTCATGAAGATTAATGCCGACATTTAAGAGTCTTATAGCTTTGGGGCACCTGGGTGGCTCAGTTGGTTAAGTGTCCGACTCCTGATTTCAGCTAGGTGGTGATGTCTCAGTTCATGAGACTGACCCCCACATCAGGCTCAGCGCTGACAGCTCCAAGCCTTGGGATTCTCTCCCATTCCCTCTCTCTGTCCCTCCCCCATACCCTCTCTCTCTCTCAAAAAACAAACAAACAAACAAAGAAAAAAAGGAGTTTCATAGCTCTGTTCTTCCGTTTAAGCCTTCATCTATGTTACATATGGAATGAGGTAGGGGTCCAACTTCATGCTTTGCATGTGGATATCCAGTTGTCCCAGCACTGTTTACTGAAAAGACTACTGAATAGTTTAGGTACCCTTGTTGAACATTAACTGTCCAGGAATGTGAGGGTTTATTTCTGAGCTCTCAATTCTGTTACACCTATAGGTCTATTCTTCTGCCAGTACCACAATATCTTGATTACTAAAGCTTTGTGGTAGAACTTGAAATTGGGAAGTGTCAGTGCTCTAACTTTATTTTTCTTAAGATTGTTTTGGGTATTCTGGGTGCCTTGAATTTACATGAGTATCAGACTCAGTCTGTCAATATTCTGCAAAGCAGCCAATTGGAAATCTGATATATACTGAGTTGAATCTATACACCAATTTGGGGAGCATTGTCATCTTAGCAATATTAAGATATGATTGAAGGGCACCTGCGTGGCTCAGTCGGTTAAGTGTCTTGACTTCTGCTCAGGTCATGATTTCACAGTTCATGAATTCGAACCCCATGTTGGGCTCTGTGCTGACAGCTCAGAGCCTGGAGCCTGCTTGGGATTCTGTGTCTCCCTCTCTCTCTGCCCTTCCCCCTCTCACACTCCCTCTCAAAAATAAACAAAAAAGCTCTGATTCATAAATGTCTTCCCATTTTCTTCGATTTAATTTCTTTTAACAAAATTTTATATTTTTAAATTATAAGTTTTATGCTACTTTTGTTAAACTTATCCCTAAATATTTTATTCTTTTTGATCCTATTGTAGATGGAATTGTTTTCTTAATTTCATATTTGGAATGTTCACCAACAGCTTGCTAAACCAATTTATTAGTTCTAATAGTTTTTTTTAGTGGATTCCTTAGGATTTTTTATACACAAGATTGTGTCATTTGTAGAGAATTTTCCTTCTCTCCTTTTCTGAAGGATAGGTTTGTTGGATATAGAATTCTTAGTTGAAAGTCTTTCTTTTTTAACTTAAATTTTTTATTTATTTCTGAGAGTCAGTGAGAGAACGAGAGCGAGCGAGCTAGCGTGAGCAGGGGAGGGTCAGAGAAAGGGAGTCACAGAATCTGCAGACAGGCTCCAGGCTCTGAGCTAGCTGTCAGCACAGAGCCCAACGCGGGGCTCAAACCCACGAACCGCGAGATCATGACCTGAGCCAAAGTTGGACGGTTAACCGACTGAGCCACCCAGGCGCCCCAGCTGACAGTCTTTCTTTCAGCACTTTGAAGGACAACCCATGACCCTTTGGCTCCCATGGCTTCTGATGAGAAGTCAGCTGTTACTTTTATTGAGGATCTCTTATAAATGAAGAATCACTTCTCTCTTGATGCTTTTAACATTCTTGTGTTTGACTTTCAATAGTCTGATTATGATATGTCCAGGTACAGAATTCTTCAAGTAAGTCCTACTTGGAGTTTGTTAAGCTTCTTGGAAGGGTGGATTACTGGTTTTTATCAAATCTGGGAAGTTTTGGCTTTATCTCTTCAAGTACTCTTTTGTCCCTTTTTCTTCCTGGTGTCCTGGGACTCCCATGTCTCTGATGATACACTTGATGGCATCCAACAGGTCTCTCAGTCTCTCTTCATGTTTCCTTATTCTTCTTTCTGTCCCTCATGCCAGGAAATCACAACTGACCTGTCTTCACAGTTCTGCTGTTGAGCCCTTTGGTGCCCTTTTCATTTCAGTTATACATTTCAACTACAGAATTTCTATGTGATTCTTTTTTTTCAATTTATTGATAGTCTCTATTTGGTAGGACATTGTTCTCTCTTTTTTTTAAGTTCTTTAGTTCTAGAACATACTGGAAAGAGCTGGTTTAAAGTCTTTGTAAGTCTCATGTCTGGGCTTCCGCAGGGACATTTTCTGTTGCTATTATTTTTCCTGTGTATGGGTCATACTTTCTTATTTCTTTGCATGTCTTGTAATTTTGTACTGAAAACCAGACATTTAAAATAATACAATATGGCACCTCTGGAAACTGGATTCTCCTCTCTTTCCTCTCCAATTTTTGATATTGCTGCTTCTATTGTTTAATTACTTTCCTGAACTAATTCTATAAAGTGTGTATTCTGTTTTATGTGACATAAAAGTCCCTAAATAGTTAGTTCAGTGGTCAGCTAATGATCAGACAGATTTCCCTAAATGCATGAAGCCAAAAAGTCTCCCGCTCTTTGCTGGGGGGCTCCCTGTGCATATTGTGGCACACCTTCCACACTTGCCCACCATTTACAATTCACCTTAGCCTTCCCTTACAGCTTCCACAGAGCCTCCAAGTCAGCCAGCAGTAAGAGCTTAGGGCCTTCTTAGATCTTTCCTGAGCACGTGCATAGCCCTGGACACACATGTGACCTTGCAGATCTCCAGGAATATGCTGGAGCTTTTTAAAGCCCCTGCAAAATCTCATTCCCCAGCTTTTCCTTTTAAGTATTCTGGTAAGCCTACTGTTTGCCCTGTTATCCACTATCTCGGGCAGCTGCAGTCTCAAATAATTGCTTCTAGTTGTTTCTGACACCCCTTCTTTCCACCCAGCTCTCCCAGAAGCTTTTCATACTGGGATAGCTCTAAGACGAATCAAATAAAATCAGCCTGGTGAGTGGCATCTTCTTGGAAACCACCCAGATGGTCAAACAATGGCAGTTCTTTGGGCACGGGGCTTTGAAAGGGCTCTGATCCATCTGCCCCCTCTGGTGGCTACCAGGCTGCTTTTTCACCATGATACTTCCAAGGCTACTATGGTACTAGGGAGGGGGAGATAGGAAGAGGGCAAATAAAAATGTCACAAAGCTTGCCCTGCTTAGAGAGGTTCAGACATTTTTCCCGAATAAACACTCCCTGATTGCTGCAAGCCTTTGGCTCATTTCAGAGTTCTGAAAAAAGTTGACCATTTTGCCAGTTTTCCATAGACTTTATGAAGTACAGAATTTTAGCAGGTCTTTATTTGGCCATTTTTGCTGATGTCACTTCTCTTTGCCAATTTATCTACCTTTTCTATCAATTACTGACAGAGAGTGTGCTGACATCTACACCTATTTGTAGATTTATCTCCTTCATCAGTTTTTTTGCTTCATGCATCTTGAAGTTCTCTTCTTACTCTACATGCATGTTTAGAATTGTTAAATCTTCTTCATATGCTTTTATCATTTAAAAACTGCCATGCTTTATTTCCAGTAATAAATACCAGATGCTACTGATGGCTGTTTTCTCTGATTTTAATATTGCCATATGAGGTCTGTTGCTTACACACTCACCAAGCACACAGGAATCCAGAATGGGTTTATACTCAGATATAGAATAATCCTGATACTCAGGAAGCAATGCCAGCTATACCCAGTATTGGGCCTTTGGAGCCCTGAAATCTTTCTTTAACTGTGCCTGTGCTACTGAAGCTACAGCTTTTGTTTCAGTCCACTATGGGATTTTAGCTTGGCTATGGCCTTACATGGTAGCCTGCGAGACATTCTCTCAGTTACCTAGACTTAGAATTCTGTCACTGAGCCAAATAAGTCAACAGATCTCTACTTTTTCTATCATTTTATATGACCAGAATGACCTCTAAAACGTACGCCTTTGTAGGGCCAGCTGAAGGCTCCCATAGCACTGAGAACTCCCCTTCCACAGTATAAGCATGAAGACAGACCCAGAACCACCATCAGGAGACCCGAAGTCCAGTTCTGACTTTGTATTACTAGACACGTGAGGCAGTAATGCACAGGGACTAAGCACGGGACTCTAGAGCCAGACTGCCTGACTTGGACACCCAGCTTCACCACAGCTAGGTGGCTTCCCGACCTCTCCGTGCTTTAACTGCCTATTCCTGAAAGGTGAATCAGAATAGTTCCTACCTTGTAGGGTTGTTGTGTGGTTTAAATGAATTCATGTAAGTAAAATATTTAAATAGCACCTGAAGGATAACAGAAAATGGTATCTAAATGCTGGACGTTGTTTAGCTGTCCTTTCCCCTCCTCTCTTTCAGGAGCTTTACACAGTGTACACACTACATTATGGAAGTTTTGTGCCACTTCTTACTTACTCAAGTCATAATAGCTACACATTTATCAACTCCTTGTTATAAGTCAAGAAATCTGCTCACACACACATAATCTCATTCAATCCTCATAAAAACCATATATTATGTCCACAATTTTCAAAGCAGGGATTGAGTTTCAGAATATTAAGAACCTGCCCATAGTTATGCTTTCTCTTGTCTGGAATGTTCTCCACTCCCCACTTCCACCCTCCAGTCGAGTACACTCTAAGTCTTCAAGAGATTAGACAGAGGCATCACCTCTTTCAGCCAATCTTCTCTGCCATCCCCATCTCTGCCCTGCTCTCATCCAGGGCAGAGTTAGACACACAACTATATATACTATATATTCTTGCTTGCCTCTGTCACATAACTGTAAACACATTTTAACTATAAACAAAAAAACTTACCTTGTTTATTTGTGTCCTCCAGAGTTCCAAAGATAGGAAACAGCTCTGGGTTTTTTTTAATGTTTATTTATGACAGGGAGAGTGCAAGCAGAGGAGGGGCAGAGAGAGGGAGACACACAATCCAAAGCAGGCTCCAGGCTCTGAGCTGTCAGCACAGAGCCCAATGTGGGGCTCAAACTCACAAACCACGAGACCTTGACATGAGCCAAAGTCAGAGGCCCAATTGACTGAGGCACCCAGGCACCCCTGGGTTTTGTTTTTAAAGAAGAAAAAGTTGGAGAGCCTGCACGGCTCAGTCAGTTAAGCATCCAACTCTTGATTTCGGCTCAGATCATGACGTTAAAGTTTGAGAGTTCAAGCCCCATGTTGGGCTCTACACTGACAACAAGGAGGCTACTTGGGATTCTCTCCCTACATCTCCCCTGCTCCTGCACACTCACATGCACACACACTCGCTCTCAAAAAAATAAACATTAAAAAAAAAAGTTTACAATGACCCAAAAGACGCAATCTGGGAAATACTAAATAATTAATGCAAAGTAACAAATGCCACTGATTCTGCCACCTACCTTCAGCTTGTCTGCTTTAGCCCTCATTTCCAGAAGCTTCTTCTCTTTGGAGTCTATCTGCAGCCCTTCATCACACCAGTTCACAGCCTCAGCAAAGTTTCTCAGTTCCAGATGGCATAAGGCACCTGTAGAACCCAGAACCCTTAATACAGGTGGACAATATGCACAGAAAGCGGCCTCCCTGAATGAGAACCCCCACCTCCACCAGCCAGCATTCTGAAGGGAAAACGTGATTAAAGCCCCTTGTACTGCATTCTCCAGACAAGGGAGAATATTTTTTGTATCTTAGATCAGAAAGCTCTCTAAGGCCCCTTCAGCTCAAAACTCCGATAAGCCCCTCTGGTATGGAGGGCTTTTAAAGCAGAGAATGCTACAGCTTAATGGCAGAGAGCACAGACTCTGGAAGCAGACAGATCTGGGCTAGGAATCTGGCTCCGTCATTTACCAACTAGACCCTGGACGAGTACTGAGCACCTCCAAGCTTTAGGTTCCTCATCTGCAAATCAGAATAAAGCCCATGTCAGATGGTGTTTTAAATGGAGACAGAAAGCAGAATGGACATCAGCCATTCATCAAAGCGGGGGCCAAGACCAAAGACACTGGTCTCTCCTAAAACGGTTCCCAGAGACGGCTGCCTCTCCTCTCACCATGTTTGTTGTTCTCCAGTTTGCCCCCTTAGACTTTCCACAGCATTTCAGTATAGCAGAACTGAAGGGCTTACATGTCCACAGAATCCAATCTCACCTCCCAGAGCTAAGTACACTGATACTCAGAGTGGGTGTCCTGCCAGTGTCACATGCTGAGGTAAAACTGACTTCAGTCGAGGATGAGACTCCAGTCTGTAGCCAGTTCCACAGGACCAGAGTGAATTTACTTGCCAATCTTTGAACGGTACCGTCTTCCCCTACAGCTGAGGAACACGGAGCTGCCTACCAACCCCTAACTATGCGTATCTAAAGGGGCATAACTCTGATAAAGCATTTGGCTTAGGATAAAGCAGTTGGTCCATGGGGGATACAGGGAAGATTAATACGTGATGAATAAATTAAAGTTTACAAAGCACCTTTGAGCTTCTCAAAGAAAACGTAAAATATAAAAGTAATTCAAGCACTATTATTACGTAGAAAGGTCAGACCACAAAAGAAAATACAGTCTGGGAACATCTCAGCATCAGAGTTATCAGCAAAGATCCAATAACTTATCTTTTAATTAACATGGCATTTGAAGTTCTTGCCTTTCAATCAGCTAATTTGGAAAAAAAAAAAAAATAGAATGTGGCTTCTGGAACTGCTTTATTTTAAATAATTTTATTATTAGTTTAAAATTAGGAGTTTCAATTTCTCTACAAATTCTTAAACCATAAAGGGTTATATTATTCTCTGGAAAATTCTTTTTAAAATGGCATGTTTTTATTGATAAGAACCAGGAACTTAATATAGAGACTGCAAAAATAAGGTGACTTCATTAGTGTATTAGCCCCTTAATGTTCAAAACTTAAAATGCCTCAACTCTTGGGGCAGTGAGTGCCAACTTTTCCATAATGACAATCATACTGTAAGTCTACAATACTTACCTCTTACTATTGCTTTGAGGTGGCAGGGTTTTAGCTTCCTGGCAGCTGTCACATCATTGAGAGCAGAACGAAAATTGCCTAATAGGGACCAATGAGTAAAAGAGAAAACAAGATTGATTTCAGGATTATTTGCAAAAATTTGTGTGTAGACACACAGATATTCTTGTATAATCCTGGAGGAATATAAATAAGAGCAATAGTTTTTAGGAAAAAATATAGTTGAGTTCATCAAGAATCTTAACAATATTTGTAACACCGGAAGCCCACAGAACAACTAATGGCTAGCAAGCCCATGAAAAGATGCTCAACATCACCAATGACTGAAGAAATTAAAATTAACATGGAACTGGTAAAAATTAAAGACAGGTAATATCCAGTATCAGTGAAGACACAGAAAAAGGGCACTCAGGTAAGCGTAAATTAGAGAGCAAATCAGCATGTACTCTGTGTGAATACTCTGACCCAACAACATTCTTCTAGGAATTTATCCTTAAAAATTCTTTGGCAGGGGCAGCTGGGTGGCTCAGTCAGTCAAGCATGCATCCAACTCTTGATTTTAGCTCAGGTCATGATCTCACAGTTTGAGGGATCAAGCCCCACAACGAGGTCTGCACTGAAGGCACAGAGCCTGCTTGAGATTCTGTCTCTGCCCCTCCCCTCCCTCTCAAAAATGAAAACACTTAAATAAATATTTGGACAAATGTGCAAGGATAAATGTAAAAGCATGTTAACTGCAGTATTACTTTTGATTGTGAAGTGCTGGGGATACCCTAAATATCCTGACTGTAGTAATGATTAAATAAACTATGGTTATGCCCACAATTATATGGTCAACTAATCTCTGACAAAGCAGGAAAGAGTATCCAATGGAAAAAAGACAAATCTCTTCAACAAATGGTGTTGGGAAAACAGGACAGCAACATGCAGAATGAAACTGGACCACTTTCTTACGCTGTACACAAAAATCAACTCGAAATGAATGAAAGACCTGAATATGAGACAGGAAACCATCAAAATCCTAGAGGAGAGAACAAGCAACAAGCTCTTTGACCCTTAGCTGGGGCAACTTCTGACTAGATAGGTCTCAAAAGCAAACATGAACTATTGGGACCTCATCAAGATAAAAAGCTTCTGCACAGCAAAAGAAACAGTCAACAAGACTAGAAGGCAGCCTATAGAGTAGGAGAAGATATCTTCAAATGACATATCAGATAAAGGGTTAGTATCCAAAATTCTATAAAGAACTTATCAAACTCAGCACCCAAGAAACAAAAAATACACTTAAAAAATGGGCAGAAGACATGAATAGACATTTTTTCTAAAAACATCCAGATGGTTAACAGACACATGAAAAGATGCTCAACATCACACATCATCAGGGAAACACAAATCAAAACCACCAGTCATCTCTCTCAGAATGGCTAACATTAACAACACAGGAAACAATGGATGTTGAAGATGCAGAGAAAGGGAACCCTCTTGCACTGCTGGTGAGAATGCCAACTGGTGCAGCCACTCTGGAAAACAGTATGGAGGTTCCTCAAAAAGTTAAAAATAGAACTACCCTATGACCTAGCAGTTGCACTACTAGCTATTTATCCAAAGAATACAGAAATACAGATTCGAAGGGAAACATGCACCCCCATGTTTATAAGAGCATTATCAATAACAGCCAAACTATGGAAAGAGCCCAACTGTCCAACGACTAATGGATAAAGACAGACAGACAGACACACACACACACACACACACACACACACAGGAATATTACTCAGCCGTCAAAAAGAATGAAATGTTGCCATTTGCAACAATGTGGATGGAGCTAGAATGTATTATGTTAAAGGAATTAAGTCTGGCAGACAAAGACAAATCCCTGATTTCATTCACACGTGGAATTTAAGAAACGGAACAGATGAACATAGGGGAAGGGGGAAAAAAAGAGAGGGAAACAAACCATGACAGACTCTTAACTATAAAGAACTGAGGGTTCCTGGAGGGAAAGTGGGTGGGGGGATGGGCTAAAGGGTGATGGGCATTAACAAGGGCACTGTTTAAAAGGGCTTCAAAGGGGGGGAAATGATAGGAAAAATCTGTTGTAAAATGGTTGACAGGACTAATAAAAAAACGCCTGTCCTTGATTAATGAGGAATGCGGAAATAACTGGCTATAAGTTACTCCCTCTGCTAATGCTCTGGGCTCAGACCTCTGAAGAATGATCTCCTCTGAGCCCACCGGTATAAAATAAACCTCCTGCCTTCCAAGATCTCCAAAGTGCCACTTGGTTCTTCCGCCGGTGATTCAGACCAGATTCTGGAACATTTGGTTACAGAACTGAGGGGTACTAGAGGGAAGATGGGTGGGGGATGGGCTAAAGGGTGACGGGCATTAAGAAGGGCACTTGTGTTAAGCACTGGATGTTACACGTAAGTGATGAATCAATAAATCCTACTCCTGAAACCAATATTACATTATATCTTAACTAACTAGAATTCAAATAAAAATTCGGGAAACAAACTATGGTTATTCCATACTATTACATGGTCTGCAGCCATTAAAAAAGAGTAAGATAGATCTGCATGTGACAGGCATGGTAGGATGCCTATGCTACATAGTTTTAACTGGTTGTTCTATGTGTATAATGTCAATGTGTAAAATACCAATATAATTTTGTAAAACAAACCAATCTAAACATACAGATGTGGACACACACATATACATTTGTAAATATATATTTAAAAAAAAAAAAAGGCCTGCAGTCATACACACTGGTTATCCAAACTAGAAGGGCATGAAGTAGATCCTCACTTTCTAGTTTATACTGTAAATATCACTGAACAGTTTGGTATTCACCTATATTTTCACTTCTAAAAATTCTAGCACAGGGGTCGGCAACAGTTTTCTGACCCTCTTCTGAAGGGCCATATAGTAAATACTTTAGGCTGCATATGATCTGTTACACATTCATCTTTGCTGGTTTTATAATTCTTTAAAATCTAAAAAACATTTTTAGCTTATAGGAGACCAAGGATCCAGCTGTGGCCTGGGAGCCAGTCAGCCAGATCCTGGTTCAGTCTTAAGATGAATCAGGATTAGTGGAAAACTTTACCACTGTGCTCATTACTGCATTATTTTAAAACACCTAAAAGCAGCTGCATATTCAATAATAGCAGAACAGTAAAGCCAATAGTGCAAACCCTGGAGTGTCCAAATCATGCAAGTTCATGTAGCTATTAAAACAGTATTCACAATTTTAATCACAGATAAACTTGTTTTTTATAAAATTAAGTGAAAAGAACGGAATGTTGGAATAACAGCATGATATTAACAATGGAAGAAAATATATATGTAAGAGATCCAAAGACTTCTGGTTAAAGGTAGTAGACTGAACCTTCAGATAAGGTAGATAAGGATTTAGCTCAACCTCCACTACTCCCCCCCTCCCCCCCAAAGTGCTATAAACCCACAGAGACGAGAAGAGTAAGAACACAGAACACATTTTTAAAGCTGGAAAACAGAGGGACAGGGCTAAATGACTAATCGGGCCTAAGAAAACGGAATTCTGAGCCAGCAAAAGGGAAGGCCCAAAGCTAGCTAGCAAGCTGTACTGCAGAACCTAAAAGTGCTCAGGACTCAGGAACTGGCAGCACCAGGTACTTCTGGAAGTGTGGGTAAAGGGGTCTTCCATTCAGTGCACTGCGAATCAAAGCCAACTCTGCATACTAACCCTAGCACTGGGCACCCTTACACAATCCATTCTACTACATTTACTGCATTTTACTACAGTTTCTTACTCTGCAGACTGGGGATAAAGAGGTTAACCTCACCGACCTTACAGAGCTGCTGTGAGGTCAAGAGGGATGACAAATGTGAAAGTGCTCTGTGAGCTGTACCAGTGAGGGACCATTTAAGGAACAGCAGGGATTATTATGCCTCTGCTCCTGTGGCATCACACACACGGTTTTCTTGCAAGGTGCCTCTTCTGGTCTTACTGGCCCTACGCATGACGGTCTTTTAAGTTCCCCCAAAGAAAGGACCTATGTAGTTTGTTGCTCACAGTGCAATGCATAGCACACAGTAGATGCTTTATATGTATTTACTGGCTGAATACGGGAATGAGGGAAATGCCTTCAGGGAAAGGCCAGGTGTTACCCATCTCTGCAACGCCAGTGCCTAGCACAGAACAAGAACTCAAGTTAGTCTGCTGACGGAAGAAAATGTATTCCTCCAGAAGTCAGAAGAATGGGTTTCCAGTCCTAGTTCTGGCACTAACCAGAGGGTCCCTCTGAGTCTATTTAAAATGAGGGGTTGGTTGGCCCAAATCATCTCTCAAGTTCTATACCACTTTTACTATGTAGGGCTGTACAATGAAATGCGCTACAGGAAGATAGCAGCTGGAGCAGCCTGTGGTAGGGAGGGACTGCTTAAGTGGGGACAGGTCCCGGCACACTCAGCCCAGCTGGACCGCAAGGCTTGTGTGCTACCAGCCCCTCAGAAATGCCCGAGACCCCCAGGGCCTCTTCCAGCCCTGTGGTAAGAAACAGGTCTAACATGACCAAGACTGGCCACCAGCAATAATGTTACCGAACAACCAGTGTTTCCCAAAGTCACGTCCACACCACAGTCTTGCACGGTAATAAGTGTTACCTGAAAAGGAGCTTATAAAGCCTAAGAATCCCAGTGTGGGGTTCTTTGCCGCGGGTCATTCCGGCATCATGGGCACACTAACGTGCACCACAGGTCTCCAACAAAGCGGCAGCACGCTCCACATCTCCTTGCCTAAAGAATATCTTTCACATCAAAGGTCCCACAGTCTTTGAAAAATTCTCCCTTTAATATACTTCTCTCACTTAAAAATCTCTATTGCTTGAATCCTTCTAGCATCCTTAAGGATAGGATAAAAGGCCAGAAACAAAAACATACTGTTTTCTGAGAAGCATTTGGGCTAAAAAAAAAAAAAATCTCAGATCATACCAACTGCTTTATGAACATAGCTCACCTGTTTGGTTCAGAGAGTAAGAATTATACAATCTATCTGGTTTCCCTCTTCACCAAGTCTACCTGGAAGAGGCAAGTTCAGTTAGAGTAAACTAGCCTAGCTTCCTGGGATGAGCAGCTCTTCTTCTGACACTCTCAAACTCCACACTAACCAGCAAAATCGTTTTCGCCGTAAAGTTAATTCTCTAGAAAGCACTAAATAATAAATTACCTAGATAGAACTGTGCTGCTGCCCGGTTGGTATAAAGAACAACATTCAAATCAGGGTCTGTGCACTTCTTCTTTAATCCTTCAGAGTACGAAATCACGGCTTTTTTATACTCTTTTTCTTTAAAGTAATCGTTGCCCTCATTCTTGTAGGTCTTGGCCTGTTCTGCAAAGAAGAGAATAAATAATCACTGTTTCCTGTTTTTTTTAAAGGCTCACTAAAAACAGATCCTAAATCATACCATAACATAACATATGATCAACCAAATAGAAGAAACCAACAGAGAAAGAAAACTCATAAACTAAGGCTATTGAACTAGGTATCAACATGGAGAAACAAATCATGAATACTTAACGCTATAATGAATTCCAAATTTCTTACAAGGCAGACTGTCAGGTACTTACAAAAAAAAGTATGCGTATCCGACGTCTTGAAGAAAGGAACTTCTAAAAAGTTACTTTAAATTATACTTGTGTTTTTGCTTACGTTTTATTCCCACGAAAGCAAATTCCCCTCCCCACCCTAGTAAGAGCCTACAAAATTGTAAAGAATCAGTTCAAATTTCCAATCCATTGTGAGCCCACTCCTACCTCCCCCTCCTCAGTGTTCCAGCAGCACCTACTACACAGCTACGTGTTGGCCCTTACCAGATACACCTAGGACAATCTGGCCATCCACGGGAGCATAACCCTTGAGGGCTGTCTTACTCATCCCTGTACTCCCCGACATGCCTAGCATTTAGTATGTCTCAAAAACCAAAAAAAAGTATAAAAAAAAGAACACAAAAAAGCATATGTGGAATAGTGACACCTTTGAGCAGGTTAACTACTTGTTATCAACCAGAACCTTTCTGACTCACTCTTTACCTCAATCCAATGGAGACACAAAACAAATATTAACTAGACTCATGTCAGATACCTTCTGGAGATCGCTCTTCATCAAAAATAATTGACTGGAGGCAAGCCAAGTCAGGATTTTCGTTGGGATCAATTTCGGAGGGCGCTTTCTTCATAAATAAGGGGACCTTTTCAAATTCCTGGAGATTAAGACAAGAATGGACCACAGGAATAAGATTTTCCACCGGATAGATCCAATTCCATGTCTCTACATCGGAGTTTTCCTCCTCATCATGATTTGCAAATCAGGATTAGCTCGCTCTCCCCCTATTCAGGCCTGTTTCCCATCTGTAACATGAGAGTGCAGGGTACCAATCTCTAAGGATTCTTTCGGCTCTCAAGCTTTAACAAGGGCCGAGGTAATCACCACTAATTGAGCGCTCTTGCGTCGCGTCCCTCCCCCCCTACCCCGCCCTCACCACCGTATTCGTCTACGCCGCAATCCTCCGAGACTGTGGCTACAGTTAAGGAAATTTTACAAATGAGGCCACGGGCTCGGAGAAATTAAGCAACTGAGTCAGTAAGTGGTGGGGTCACAGCTCGTACTCCTAAATGTACTCGCAGCTTAAGACGGCGCCCAAAACCCCGAGGCCGAGTTTCTAACACTCCCGAGGAGAAGCCACCTGTCCGCGGGCAGCGCCGGGGCCCCGGGGTGAGGCAGGAGCCTCCGCGCCCGGGAGCCCCAGGCGTCAGGACGACAACCCCCTCCCCCCACGTGCGGGGCCCCGGGCCGCCTACCTCCTCCCACTGATCCTCGTGGAAGCCGCCACTGTAAGACTGGTTCTGGAACTTGTCCAGGAACTCGTCCATGGCATCGTCAGCGTCCGCGTCGATGTCCGCGTCGGCGTCCAGCTCCCACTGCTCCATGGCGACTCTTCCACCCTCGCGCCACAGTCGCAGCTGCTAAAAAACCGCGGCAACTTCCGGCACTGCGGGTGCTCTTCCCTCAGTCCTCCGGGCCGCGCCTACCGGCGCGCCTCGGGTTCCGTCCTACCTGGGTTCCGGCCCGACCCGGGCTCCACCCCTCCACGACCAGCACCACCCCCGCCCGGCCCTCCCCTCAGCGGGCCTCAGCCCCGCCCCTCAGTGTTTGGGGTGGCGGATAAACCCAACGCCCCGCAGTGCTCCCTTATCACTTCTTTAGCTCGTTTGTCCAGCCAGTTAACACGTGTTCCCTAAGCTCCTTGTGTGTTCAGGCCTATTGCGGTCGCTGGGTATACAGTGGTGGGCAAAGCAGATAAAACCCCTGCTCTCCAGGCGTTGAGAGGGTAGTGAGGAGAGACAGCCGGTGAACGTAATTTATAAGAGGTTGTCAGGTGCTAGCAAGAGCTATCAGGGGAAAGTTCCAAACTGGGTGTACAGGCATCAAGCAAAGGAGGAGGCCTGGAGTGGCCAGGGCCTGTTGGGGGGTGGGGGCGCGGGGACAGCCCTCTCCATGGCGGGGACTGGCAGAGCCCAGCCCCAGCGAGTGGAGCTGGCGGGGAGGGGGTCCTGGAGCAGAATGAGAAGTAGGGTGAGTAAGTGAGGTGGGAGGGATGATGAGTAGTGATTCTGGCGACTTGGGTCTTCCTCAGCGTGCAGTGGAACCTTTTTTTTTTTAATTTTTAAAAAAATTTTGAGACAGAGAGAGACAGAATGAGCAAGGGAGGGTCAGAGAGAGAGGGAGATACAGAATCTGAAGACAGGCTCCACGTTCTGAGCTGTCAGCACATAGCCTGACGTAGGGCTCGAACCCACAAACTGTGAGATCATGGCCTGAGCCGAAGTTGGACGCTTAACCGACTGAGCCACCCAGGCGCCCCAGCGTTCAGTGGAACCTTATGGAGGGTTTTGAGAAAAGGGGCTATGTGATCAGACGTGCCTGTTCCTGAGGCGAACCACCTCCCCACTCACGCGATCTGGCATGGAAACAGGATCTCCAGGCGAGGCGTGCCTTCCTGCTGCCGCAGGGTTACCCAGCAGATGGCCAGCGCCGCCCTGCGGTGGCTGCTGCAGCCTCGGGAAGCCCACAGCCTGGAGATGGACAGGCAGCAGACCAAAAACCGGGGTCAGTCACAAGTCTGCACAGTGGAGGCCCGGAAGAGTGGGTGTTTCCTCGGGGGTTCGGCAAGGTTTCACAGAGGAGGCAATGCGGAGCTGAGCAGAGCAGAGATGAGGAGACAGACGAGCTCTGGAAGGGGGTTGAGCATCTTAGACAGCGGGAGCCCCTGGGCAGAGAGGCAGGGCGGTGTGTAAGAGCCTGGCCTGCCGGGCACCGCAAGAATCAGGGGGAAAGGCCAGCAAGGCGGATGGGGGCCGGAGGGCAGTCCGGCCTTTAACTTGCAGAGGATAATGAGCCAGCGATAGACCTGAGGACAGATTTGTCTTGGGGAGGCCTGGGTTGATGAAGGTGAAGGATTGATGGGAGGAGGCTGGGTTCAGAGCTGAGGTGCTGGTGAGAGACCAGGGAAGAGAAGGCATGGGAGGCGTGGCTGTGGGACGGGCAGGCTTGGGCGTGATCTGCTACGGGTGGGAGAGAGAGCAGGGCTCGGGCAGGCACGGAGGGCTGTGGCCCCCGGGGCCAGGCCTGCGGCTTTCCCCTTCCAGCTGCCCGCCAGTGCCCAGCAGAACACTTGGTCCAAGTGCCTCCTCCCCGCCAACTCGGCACCTCCTTTCCCCCCTTCATCCTCCAGCGGGCTCCCTAATGGGCCCCCTTCTGATTCTCCTCCTCACTATCTTTTCTCTTCTAGGGTACAGAACCTGCGGATCCTTTGGCTTCCCTTTTTATTTGATTCCTATAAAACTCTGTGAGGCAAGAATCCATTTTAAAGGTGATGTTGGGGGAGGCTCAGAAAAGGAAGTGATTGCCGAGCGCTCTCTGACTTGAGACTACTTGGGGGGCGCTGGCCAGTCACTGAGCTCGTCAGCCTCTGTTGTGCTGAGAAGCCACCCAGACCGGAATGTGGCAGCTGTCATTTGCCAAGGCCAGCCCAGACCTGGGTTCCAGCAATGTCTTTGGGTGGAAAGGGCTCAGACATGGGAGTTGGGAGACCTTCGAGACCCACACTTCTTTTCTCTTGTGTGACCTTGGACAAGCCCCACTCACCTTGGAGTCCTGTCGTCTGTAGAGTGAGGGCAGTGAAGCCAGCCTGACCTTCGCCATAACTCCACATGGCTACCGCAACACTCCAAGGAGGCCATGCTTGTGAACATTCTTGGCAATGGAAGACGTGATGCACAAGGACCACCCCCATTTCCCACTCTCTCTTAGCCCCAGAATCCTGATGGCCTTGGCCTACCATTTATTGGCAGAGGATTGTGTGGTCAACTTCCTGGGTTCCTCATCCCAGCAGGAGCTTACATGTACTCTACACTCTCGCCCTGGGGAATCTCACCTCAGCCCTGTCTGCGAGGAATCCCCAACGCACTTCCATCCCAGGTCCTTATGCCAAGGTCGCCACTGTGCAGCCAGCCACCTGGAAGACGTCCCTACTATCACGACACCAAGCCTCTCAAGCTCACCACCTCCAGCCTCAACTCCTCTCTCCACGAAGGTGCCTCTGATCCTAACGGGTCAACCAGTGCGGGGGACACCACTGACCCAGTCATCCGCCCAGAAAGGCAGGCACCACCCTCAGCGCCTTGCTCTCCCTCCCCCTCCTCCATTCTGTCAACCACCAGGTTTTGAAAACTCCCCTCCCTCTCTCTCCCCGGGGTCCAGTCTTCTTTCTCCGTCCTGCCCTGCTGTTCAGGCTTCCATTCCTCCCCCCCAACCCGGAGCCTCCAGCAGAGTCTCCCTGCCCATGCTCCTGGTCACCACCCCTCTTTCCTTCCGCCACAGCGTGAGCTTTCTTCCCCTCCCTTTTATCATTCATTCCCTTTTAGGCCCAGAGCCTTCCTCCTTACTCCCTCCCACTGGCCTGTGTTTTAATGTGTATTTTCAGCTTGTAAGTATTCTTGCAAACTGTGGCTTCTTTTGTGCATACATTTTTAATGTACTCTTTCCCTCAGCACTAGGTTTGAGGTCCCATCCAAGGTGCTACAGGTACCCCCACTGCCTGTGAAGTGCTACGTGGGACTCCCCGGCGCCCATTCACCCACGAGGATGGGTACCCAGCCCTCCTCCTCTCCCAGGCACCACAAATAACGCGCTGCAATGGACCTCATAACAGCTCTTTTTATGGATCTCTGGGGAGAGCTCCAAGATGTGTGCCCATGCGTGGAACTGCCGGGTCATGGCATGCCTGAACTCCGTATGAATGAATCATGACGGATTCGTGTCCCAGACGTCTGCTCCCATCCCCCCTCCCACCAGCAATGCCTGCGGGGTTCCTGTATCCTCCAGAGGAAGGAGCTTTCTAAAGCCGACATCTGCCCACATCTCTCCCCTGCTTAACACCGCACCATGCCTTCCCGCTGCTCCCTTAACCCAGCCTCCAAGGCCATGGTGAGCTGGCCCTGGCCCTGATCTACACACACACACACACACACACACATGCATGCACACACACTCTAGGATCCACTGAAGCTGCGTATCAGCAGTTGGTCCTCAGTCCCATGTGCCCTGCTCTCCTCCATTCATGCCCACCACGTATCCTCATTCCAAACCCCCTAGTGGGGGGTCTTGCCCCTGACACCCCTACTCCCAGCTGGCCTAGGTACATCCTCTGGGCTTCACAAGCTCCCATGAGCTCCTTCATCACAGCACCGCCCTGGTGGGCACGGATGTCTTTACATGTCTCTGATACTTCCATTAGACCAAAGTTTCTCAACCCCAGCACTTTTAACCATTTGGGATGGATAATTCTTCACTGGGGGCTGTGCTGTGCTTAGCAGCATCTTTGGGCTCTACCCACTAGATGACAACAGTATCCCCTTCCACAAGTTGTAACAATCAAAAGTGCCTCCAGATATTGTGAAATAGTCCCTGCATGTCAAAAATCACCCTGTTGAGAACCACTGCATCAGACTATGAGTTACCAGGGTTGGGGACTGGGCTTTGCTCTCCTTCAACACCCAGAACAGGCCTGGCCCAGGTTAGGTGCTCAGTAAATGTTAGACAAATGATAGACAACCGACCTCTGGGCAATGACCTGAGGGTGGGACTCAGAGGTCAGGGTTCCAGGAAGTGCATGAGGTCATGGGGTAGGGGCGTCTGTCCCTTTCCTTCCCCTAAAGCCACCCCAATCATCTTTTATGGTTCTTCTAACCACTCTATGGGAGAGGGGACACTGAGGCACAAAGTGGACTTTTTCTGTGGCCTTGAGGAAGGCACTTCACCTCGGCTTCTCCACCTATAAAGTGTGGACGAAGTAGCCCTTGTGCATCTGTAAATGTTGCCTGAGTCCACAACGAAGGCCACACTCATCTCACAGATGTGCCGCATGGAGCAATGGCTGCCCCGGGGCGTGGGGCGTCTCTCGTGAGGAAACAGTCAGGGGGAGAGGTAAGCCATGTGGCGTTTATCATGAGCATGGCCGTGGCCGCCCCTGGGGAGGGCTGGGGGCTCAGGCACATCGCTGCTTCAAGTTCATCTTCCAGGAGCCCAGGGCCTGCATGATCCAGGAGCGGCGCTGGTGGGAAGTGGGCAGGTTCTCACAGCTAGGGCTCCAGCGGTGCGTGGTGGCTGGGTCGCACACCCATGAGTCCCCGTGTGGCAGCGGCCAGGAGTTCCGCCAGCAGCTGGCCAGGATGTGGTCCTGGGCCTGGGCCGCGTAGATGCATACTGATGCTTCTGGGTCGTGTCTCAGGTTTTCCAGAGCTGGGTCGTGGGGAGGGAAAGGCCGCTCATTAAGGCCAGGGCCCCCCGCAAAGGTCCCACAGCAGATCCTCCCTTCTCACTGCCGTGTCTTGGCGCAGGCATTCTGTTTGGCATCCCTTCATCTCCTCTTCCTCCCAGCCCTTCAAACTGTTTCTGCCTTTTGAAGCCTAAGT